GGTCCCCCTCCCCATGAAAATGATGATAATGTTGAAGATGTTAATGCCATGAATTTTGTGCCCCGTGAGGGAAATAATGGAATGCGACCAAATTGGAATCAAAACCCAAACCGTAGTTGGAATCAAAACCAAGGTTGGAATCAAAGTCAATGGAATCAAAGTGGTGGTGGTTATGATAACCAAGGCCAAGGTAGGGGAAACTCTTCCAATTACAATGGAAGAAGTTACTCAAACCAAAGACCCAATTGGAATCAAAACCAACAACACTATTCCAACAACCAACAACGTTTTAATTCCAATCAGGGTTCCGGGGGTAATAGACCTCAAAATGCTTCTACTTTCTCACAAAATAGTAGACCCCCCGGTTTTGACCAAGTAAGGCCCCATTCTCAAATTCCCCCTACTCAACCCCTCCAAATAGAAGCCCCTCCTGATCCTATGATGGCTATGCTTCAAAATTTCATTAAAAATCAAGAAAACCATAATAAGAGTCAAGAGGAAGAAAAGAAACAAATCAAGGCACACATGAAAATGCTTGAGACCCAAATCTCTCAAATTGCCCAACCAAGTTCTTCATCCTCCCCTTCTTCATCTTCTTCTTTACCTAGTCAAGGTGTCAACCCCAAGTCTATGTATGCCATTACTACTAGAAGTGGGAAGATCCTTGAGAGTGAACTAAATGTTGAGAAGAGTCCCGATGTGAGGATAGGACTTGAGGTTGAGGATGAATCATCAAGAGAGAATGAGATTCTAGAGGGAAGTGCCGGAAAGAATGAGAGGGGTGAGAAAGAGAAAGAGAAGGAACTCGAAAAGGAGAGCACCAAAGATCAAACATCTTTACTCCTTAATCTCCAACCTAGGAATGAGAGGTTGCCTTTTCCCCAAAGATTTGCTAGGTCTAGGCTTGATGTCCAATTTGGAAAATTTTTAGATGTAGTAAAGAGCTTGCATGTTTCTATACCCTTTGTGGATGCTATGAAAGAGATGCCACACTACTCTAAATTCCTAAAAGACCTCCTGAATGGAAGGAGAGAAGTTGAAACCGTTAGCTTAACCGCAAATTGTAGTGCTATTCTCTCCAGTAAGCTACCAACTAAATTGCAAGATCCCGGTAGTTTTTCCATCCCTTGTTCTATCAATGAAGTTCATTTGGGGAAAGCTTTGTGTGACCTAGGTGCTAGTGTGAGTTTAATGCCTTTCTCGGTCTACCAAAAGCTTAATGTGGGAAACCTTTCACCTACAAACATCACCCTCCAATTAGCAGATAGGTCCACAAAATTGCCTATAGGGAAAGTAGAGGACATACCCCTTAGAGTCGGTAAGTTCACTTTTCCGGTGGACTTTTATGTTCTTGAAATGGATGAAGATGAAAGAATTCCTATAATCTTGGGTAGGCCATTCCTAGCTACCTCTAAAGCAATTATTGATGTCAAAGAAGGCAAGATGACCTTGAAGGTTGACAATGATTCTATCGAATTTGATTTGAATAAGGTGATGAGACAACCTTCCTCTGACAATGAATGTTTTAGAATAGATACAATTGAAAAACTTGATGAATGAGTTTAGATACCCTTATATGCATGCTTCTAATGATCTACTTGAGAATGTTTTGTTGAATGAGAATGAGGTAGGTGATCAAAAGGAGATGCAATTATATGAGGAAATGCTTGATGAGAAAGAAGAGACAACCCCCGACCAAGAGATGCCCCAACCGTATGAAGTCTTCCAAGTAGAAGAGGAGGAAATCTCCAATGGTAAGGTAGCTCCGAAGGTAGAATTGAAACCTCTACCTTCGGGCTTGAGGTATGTCTTTTTGGATGTTAATGATACTTTTCCGGTCATTATCAATGCTAACCTCACGGAAGAGCAAACCTCCTCATTGCTTAATGTTTTGAAAATGCATAGGAAGGCTTTGGGTTATACTCTTGATGATCTCAAAGGTATAAGCCCCTCCCTATGCATGCATAAGATCGATTTAGAGGAGGGTGCTAAGCCGTGTAGGCAACGACAAAGGAAACTTAATCCTTCCATGCAAGAGGTTGTGAGAAAGGAAGTTTCCAAGCTACTTGAAGCAGGGATCATCTATCCAATCGCTCATAGTGATTGGGTATCCCCGGTTCAAGTAGTGCCGAAAAAGGGAGGTATGACGGTAATGATCAATGATAAGCAACAATTGGTCCCAACTCGGCTTGTTACGGGTTGGCGCATGTGTATTGATTACCGCCAATTAAATGCCAACACTTCCAAAGACCATTTTCCATTACCGTTCATCGATCAAATGCTTGAGAGGCTTACAAAGCATGCTTTTTATTGCTTTCTTGATGGTTATTCGGGATTCTTCCAAATCCCAATTGACCCAAAAGATCAAGAAAAGACCACTTTCACTTGTCCCTACGGAACTTTTGCTTACCGTAGGATGCCTTTTGGTCTTTGTAATGCCCCGGCCACCTTCCAAAGATGCATGATGTCAATTTTTAGTGAAATGATCGAGGAAGAAATGGAAGTTTTTATGGATGATTTTTCCGTTGGTGGAGGCACGTATGAGCAGTGCCTAATGAATTTATCTTGTTGTTTAGAAAGGTGTGAGAGTGCCAACTTGGTGCTCAATTGGGAGAAATGCCACTTCATGGTGGAAAACGGCATTGTTCTTGGCCATAAAATCTCCCAAGTGGGCATCGAAGTCGATGGTGCGAAGGTTGATGTGATCGAGAAGCTTCCTCCTCCCACAAATGTGAGAGAAGTGAGGTCCTTCCTTGGTCATGCCGGCTTTTACCGCCGCTTCATCAAAAATTTCTCTTTGATTGCTAAGCCTCTCACATCTCTCTTGCAACAGGATAAAGAATTTGTATTTGATGAAGCTTGTCATGAGTCATTTTGCAGGTTGAAAAAGGCCCTTTGCACCGCCCCCGTAGTCCGAGGACCGGATTGGTCTCTACCATTCGAGCTAATGTGCGATGCAAGCGACGGGGCCATTGGATCGGTTCTGGGACAAAGAAAGGATGGGAAACTTCACGTTATATACTATTTGGTCCAAGACTCTCAATGATGCCCAACGAAATTATACAACTACCGAAAAAAGAGTTTTTGGCGGTTATCCACTCATTTGAGAAGTTTAGAACCTACCTCATTGGTTCTAGGACAATAGTGTATACCGATCACTCGGCTCTCAAATATTTGATAAGTAAGAAGGAGGCCAAACCGAGGTTGTTGAGATGGGTGTTGGTCCTTCAAGATTTTGATTACGAAATGAGAGATAAGAAGGGAGCCGAGAACGTGGTGGCGGACCACCTCTCTAGGTTAGGAGCTGCAAGAATACATGAAGACGATTTGCCAATTGAAGATGCCCTAATGGATGATGTCTTATATGCTCTTGAGGCAAAATCGGAGCCTTGGTATGCGGATATTGTGAACTACTTGGCTTGTAGTGCCATACCTCCGGATTTCACTCCTCAACAACATAGAAAGCTCAAGCATGAAGCAAAGAAGTATATATGGGATGACCCCATGTTGTTGAAGAGAGGGGTGGATGGACTCTTGAGAAGATGTGTTCCTAATGAAGAATTCCAAGATGTGCTCTCAATGTGCCACTCATCCCCTTGTGGTGGTCATATGAGTGCTCAAAAGACCGCTTCCAAGGTTTTGCAATGTATGCTCTTTTGGCCGTCTCTATTCAAAGATGCTTGGCAATTTGTTAAGACTTGTGATAGGTGCCAAAGGACAGGGAACATATCACGGCGCGATGAGATGCCCCAAAATCCTATTCTTGAACTTGAAATCTTTGATGTTTGGGCAATTGACTTCATGGGCCCTTTCATCTCATCCCAAGGAAACCGGCACATTCTAGTTGCCGTTGATTATGTCTCCAAATGGGCGGAAGCCGTGGCATCTCCCACCAACGACTCAAGGGTGGTCATCAATTTGTTCAAGAAAGTCATCTTCCCAAGATTCGGTGTTCCTAAGGCAATCATAAGTGATGGAGGCTCACACTTCAAGCACCATGCATTCAACAAGCTTCTTTCAAAGTACGGTGTATCTCACAAGCGAGGCCTTGCTTACCACCCCCAAACAAGTGGTCAAGCGGAGGTCACAAATAGGGAGTTAAAAGTCATCTTAGAGAAGACTGTTGCTAGAACAAGGAAGGATTGGTCCAGTAAGCTCATTGATTCATTGTGGGCATATAGGACCGCCTTCAAGACTCCTATAGGGACTACCCCCTATAAGCTTGTTTATGGGAAAGAATTGCCATTTACCCGTAGAGATGGAGCACCGAACGCATTGGGCAATCAAGCAAATCAACTTTGATCTCCACAGTGCGGGTGAGCAAAGGCTTCTAGAGCTTCATGAGTTGGAAGAGCTGAGAATGAATGCATATGACAGTGCAAGCCTCTACAAAGCAAGAACCAAGGCATGGCACGATGCTCGAATTTCCAAGAAGGAATTTGTGGAAGGACAAAAGGTCCTGCTCTACAATTCAAGACTCAAGCTCTTCCCCGGGAAATTGAGATCTAGATGGAGCGGTCCATTTCAAGTGTCCAAAACCTTTCCTTATGGCTCGGTTGAGATTTTCAATGACAAGTACCCTCCATTCAAAGTGAATGGGCAGCGTCTCAAGCCATACTATGAGGGTCAGCTAATTGAGAAGCCAGAAAATTTATCTCTCATTGATGTTTCCAAATCACCATGATTCCGTGTGAAGTACGTCAAGCTAGTGACGTTAAAGAAGCGCTTACGGGAGGCAACCCGGTTTCTAACCTCTTTGATTTTATTTTCTTTCAAATCGCTTGAACTAATCCACCTAACGCTCTTCCCAATCAATTCTGATGCAGGCGTGATTGCGTGTGTCCACGAGGAAAGAAAGGCAAGAGCAAAGCAGAAAAATTAAAAAAAGAGAGGAATTTTGAAATTTTGTGCTCGGATGAATTCTAAAGAAACAGAACCTCAGCGCGATTTGAATGCGGCTGTAGCGCGATCCGCAGCAGCATTAAAGCGCGGGCGCGCCTGGTTTCGTTGCGGGCGCGCAATTTTTATGAATGAAAATTTCTCCAATTCCAGGGAGTTGGAGCGATTTTATCGCGGCTGAAGCGCGATCCGCAACAGCAGTAAGGCGCGGGCGCGCCTGGTTTCATCGCGGGCGCGCCGTTTTTGTGAATATAAATTCTCCAATTCCAGGGAGTTGGAGCGATTTTATCGCGGCTGAAGCGCGGCCCGCATGAGCAGTAAGGTGCGGGCGCGCCTGGTTTCTTCGCGGGCGCGCCTGGTATACGCTTGAAAATTACTTCCATTCCAGGAGGCAGGAGCGATTTGGCCGCGATTGCAGAGCGGCTCGCGTTTTAAAGAAGGCGCGGGCGCGTCTATTATTAGCGCGGGCGCGCTGTAGTTTTACTGATTTCCAGGAAGTTGGAGCGATTTAGGCGCGATATAGGAGCGGCTCGCGTTTTCTTTAAGGAGCGGGCGCGCCTTAATCGGGAGCGGGCGCGCCTTTCTGGATATCAGAAAAAAAATAAAATACGGTGGCTTCTTATATTCCCGCAATTTCCAAATCCTCACAAACATAAACCAAACCCTCTTTGCCTTTCTCTCTCTTCACGGCCGCTCCTCACCACCATAGCCAAGATCATCTTCTTCCACCTTCATAAATCAATCATTCTCAAAATATAAACCACATCAATCATCCTCAAGCTTCAATCAATCATCCTCTCCGTTTGTTCATCTTCAAAGGTAGCAATTGGGCATCAAGGGCACAACCGCAACGAACCCCCCCCCCCCCTTCCTACTCAAATCCTTCACCAAATCGACACCAAAACAGCAATCTTCCGCATAAAGGTAAAGGTATTCGATCTCCTTAGTTAATTATTCTCTTGGATTAATTTTAAGTAAGGATTTTGATTATCTTAGGTTATTAGCGAAATTTGGTTGATTATTGTTGAAATTATTGCTGGATTCTGTTGAACTTGTTGTTGTTGATTAGTATCTTAGGCTATATTCGTTGCGTGGTTGGATTATTATTGCTTGTGAACAGGTACATTGTAGTTTTGTGGAGGTTAAGATTGGAAATAGCCGGAGTTGGCTTTGAAAAGGAGTGAAAAAAAAAAAAAAAAAAAAAAAAAAGAGGTGGGCAGTCATGAGTCTAAGAATTGGGAAGAAGAGAAAAACTGCAAAGTCGGGACAATCGTCCCAAAACCAAGAGTCAGACCAACCCAATGCCTTACCCACCCTAAAATTTTTACACAAAAGCCACTCCTCCATACACTCGGAAATGCAAAAACGTAAGTTGCGACCTTCTAGACACTACCATCGTGGAGACATGATAAAACTCGGTATTAATGATGATTTGTGGATTCTTTTTGACAACCTTCGATTAGGGTCATTCATAAACTCCTCATTCATGACCTACAAAGAACCCACATTAGAGTTTTTCTCGTCTTTTCAAGTGGATAGTCTAGAAAATGACGACTTTCGAATTTCTTTCCAACTCTTCAACAACCCCCACACCATGTCATTGGCAGAGTTCAACCGAGCCCTCGACCTTCACCCCGATGCCGACATTCACTACCCTCTATATGAGAGCTTTGGGGAGTATAGTGAGTACGCTTGGTGGCGTTCAATTTCAGGCAAAAATGAGTTTTACACCCGGACTTCCATAGCCAGTGAGATTTGGCACCCTGCCCTTAGGATCCTACACCGTTTATTAGGGTATTCTATCATTCCTAAGCAGGACCTAGGGAAGCTGACTAAGGAAGAGGTCCTTTGCCTATGGATAGCCACAAAGGCAGAGCATGCTCGGAGGTTGAATTTGGGTTTCCTCTTCATGCAAACCTCCCAAGCCAAAGCAAAGGGGAAAAAGCCAGGGGAGATACACTGCGGGGCGATGGTCACTAGACTGGCCACCAAATTAGGTTACACTGACCTTCTACCTCTATGCACGGCCGTAGGTAGTAGTGGGGATATTTACCTTGATTTGGACCAGCTTCGCCGTTCTGATTTTATTACCCCCACGGCGAACCCCAATGCTTTTAGGTGGCTAGTTAGAGGAGCCCACCATTGTTTCCTCCCCAAGCCTCACTTCACTTCTCTCACGCGTCAGTCCCCTAATGTGTGGAGAGTTTTGAGAGATAGCGGGCGAGTGCCTGATGTCGATGGGGACGATGAGGTTGGAATGGGTAATGAGGAGGAGGTTCAGGAGGAGGAGCAGCAGCAGCAGCCGGTTACCCAGCAACCCGCAGGTACAGGTACATTTCATCTATCTGATATAGCTAGGAAGTTGCAGGCAATTTATGAGTCACAGCAAGGCCACCATCTGCAGCAGCAGGCCCTCTATGACTCCGCTGTGGATAGAGGAGAGATTGCCCCCCCGTGAACTACCCCAATTGGCCGCCTCAGCACGGCCCTGTTCCTTCTTGGGGGGGGGGACAATCTCCCCACTTACCCCTACTGGCAAGGTCCTTCCGAGCCTAGTAGGGAGCTCCGCAGCTTCCCAGAGGACGGGCAGTACGATTATCGTGTGCCCGGCGGGTGTGACTTTAGAGGGGACCCTGCGTACCCCTATGCACATCCTGATCACCCCGCCCCACTGTACTCTCAATCTGAGGACACTCCCTCTGATCCTTTGCCTAGTTGGCAAGAGGATCTTTACAGAGGTCACTACGGTTGGCCGCCGGGCTTTGACGGTGGTTGGGGCCTTTTCGGCCCCCCTAGTGGCTTCACTTATGACGAGCCGCCACGTCGGGCTGGCTCACCTAGTGAGCCCGGCTCTAGTGGCCAGTAGGCTGCGTCCTTGAGTATATCTCTCTCCCTTGTTTTTGTACGCTTATTTTGATGAGTTGGAGATATACTCTTGGTAGGGAGTGACTTGGTTGGGATTCTTACTTGCTCGCCTGCCGGTCTTTCATTGTTTTCCCTGTACCTTCATGCTGCTGATTCTACTGAGTTACATGACTGTTTTCTTTGGTTTACTTTGCCCCTGTTCACTAATACTGTTGATGAGTTTTTGATATGGTTTTGATGATGATGCTGCTTTGGGGACGCTTCTCTCGGTTTGATGGATACCGCTGAGTCCGCCCCCCGTTTTCCCTGTCGATAATGATGATTACTGGTATTCGCCAACATGGCGATTCACCAGTGCAGGTATGTATTTATGGCTTGATGATTTTTGAGGTAATGTTGATTTTGGTGAAGATCTAGAAATTTTGTCAAGGGTAGATTAGTTTATAGCGAAAAATAAAAAAAAAAAAAAAAAAAAAAATTAATTTGACTTGCGTTCTTGAATGTCTTTATTCCTAAGGATTAAGAGTTTCTGCGTTCTTGGATTGCCATTGGTTGACTCTAAGATATGTCTATGCTAAGGTAGTTGCTAGAACTCGTAAGGCCCACCGAACCCAAATTCACTTGTTTGTGGTAAGATGGCGTTGCCCTCTTTGGGGGATTTGAAGCCCTAAAGGTAGTTTTTTGTAACCCATGTCAGATTTATTGTTCAAGCCTCCACCACTTATTGTATGAGCGGCATAGGATCCTTACCAAGGCATGCTTCGATCGAGAACTTGTTGTCTAGCTACCCGAGATCGCGACCGAACTATATCTAAGGACGATAAAAGCATTTTCTTCGGTGACTATTTTGCTTTTCTAGGTTTATCTTTCCTTTTGTTGCTTCTTGATAAATTATTATTATTTTTTTTTCTTTTTGCGTTTGCCCCTTGCTAGCCATGATTGAGCCTGCACCTCTTTGTTCATAAACACATTCAAACCCCATGACCTTTTGTTTCACTTTTCGCCCAATGACTTGTGAAGTTTGAGACATGATAGTTTGTAATGATTTAAAATCGGAAAGTTGCAAGGTGATGGTTTGGAATTTGAAATAACAAGCAAGGACAATGGAAGTTCCCCATAAAAAAAAAAAAAAAAAAAAAATTGTATATAGTTTGAGCATTGAGGGCACTGCTCATTTCAAGCTTGGGGGAGAGGTTCTACGCATTTTGTATATACTTTTGTGAGTTTGTGCTGAATAAGCTTGGGGGAAGATGTATTTTGTTTGGAAATTGGTGATATTCTACTTTGTTATGAGAATTGGCGACATCTTCTGCTTCACAATTAGGATTTACCACCAAATTTTCATATATACTTATTTTATTTTATTTTATTTATTTATTTATTTCTTTCCTCACCCTTACCTCCTAGCCTGCATTACAACCCTAAGTCCTTTTAACTTGGATTGGTTGAGTCACTAGTCGGTGGAGGGAGCTAGATTTCAAGCATATGGAGAGAGCATGACTTGGTAAGATGTCGGGTCACCCTTGTTTCATTTGTTCCGGCTCCTTCGTGGAGTCATGAGATACTACCTTGAAGGGTGGATTTGAATCCAGATGAGGGAACGCGGTAAGAATGTATGGAATGCGGGTGGAGTGGAGCATATTAGAGTTCTCTATGCTTAGAATAACTTATCTTTCAATCAACCATTGGCATCCAAAAATGTGTTTACTCTTAGTACCTAGAAAGATTGTCATCCATCTATGCTTGTTTGTAGTTGATTTTCTTCTTTATTTGCTCCTTTGTTTTGGTTTGTCTTGAGCATGTCGCCAAGAGTTGTGGGTTAAACTCTTTGGAAACCCCCACGAGAGCATACTCGTCCTCATTGGCGACTTTGAGGTTTAAATGGCTTGTTGTTTATGTTAAAAACAACCGTGATTCCTA